CTCTGTTGGGGCTGCTAGCAACTCTGCTAAATTATTCTGCTTCAAATTTGGCATGAAATCTTTTGCTGACTTTTCCTATCCTTGCTATTTCCAGCCCAGGCTGACAGTTTGGGCTGGCTGCCTTCTATGCTTGGGCAAACCTGGGAAAGGACAGCAGAGCAGCATCACAGAGCCTCCCCTCTCCCCCACTTGCCCTGTAGGTGTTTGGTGGGGCTTGGGGCAGATGGTGGAAAAGTAAGCCCTCAACAGCCATTTTCACACAGAGAGGGGCAGATCAGGAAGAACTCAGGACTCTGCTGCACGCTGTGATGAAGAATGAAAACTGCTTTCCTCTTCCTTCTGTCCCACCAAGTGGAAGGAGTTTCCTGAGAAGCATGAATGCAAAAATCCTCAGATAGGGTCTAGAGGTAAAGCAGTACCATAACTGCAAGAGGGGCTGGGACATCACACAGGTCATGCAGCAGAAAAAAAAAGGGGGGGATGCAAATGCCTAGTAGAAAACACAACTAAGAGTGAACTTCTGGGTTTGGGGTTTTAAGATCTCTTTGTTGGAATTGTGGGGAATGACTCCCACATTCATTCGCATAGGGGACTCCTGCATTACAAGCTACAAGGGACTCTGCAGGTGATCAGCTCTAAGTCTTCAAGCACACCACTACCTTCTTCCTGTTGGAAAAGACTCACCCCTAGGGCTACACAAACATGTCATTTTTTTAAATGATGCAAGCTGCACAGAGTGTCACAAATTTAAAAATATACATATTTAAGCATCGTGTTCCATCTCTTTTCCTTCCTCAAAATACTGTGCCACACTAATCTGCTCTCAAATAATGAATAAGTGAAGTATAGACATTTCCAGAAAGAGCATTTAACATGCAGTTGTTGGCCAGGTAGCACTGCCTTCTTCTCCCACTTATTTCTACAAACACTACCCCCTCTACTGCAGAGGGCTTGTGACATCCCAAGGGCATGTGAGAGGCCATTTGTTAAAACTTTGGCAAAGAGTAGTCGCATTGTGTATGCCAACTCACACTTTTTACTGAGGCAGGGGAGCTGGAGCCTGGGTCTGTTGTGATCTCTCAGTTGAGATGGAACAGGTTCTGCTCATTTCACTGGAGTCCCTACCAAGAATTCCTGGACAGTACAAAGCAGCCCCTTAAAAATGTTTCCATCATTACTCCAGTCTGCCTTGAACCCTAAAAGTTGCTCAACTGAAGTTGCCAGTCATGTTCACTATTACTGTCTTCTAGTAACACAGAAAACATGCAGGCTGCAGCCACACTCAGGCAGAGCTCCTGCATGCCTCCTGCTGCACCATGGGCCAGTCCTGGCACTAGTAGCAGGGAGAGAGAAGATGGCTGAAAAGAGACAAGAGACAGGAGAAACCTAGGAAAGAGAGGAGGCTGATGCCACAGACCGTGAGGAATGAAAGAGCTGGATATGGTTTTTTTCAAGCTTGCCCCACTGTCAAGTTTTCCCAAGCATATGTCACTAGCTCCTTCCGGTATTGCTTACTGTGAAAAAAGACACATGGAAAATTATTCACCTTTGAGAGCCAGGCTGCCTCCACCAGGCATTTGGTGATTTTTTGAAAACACAAACTCAAGCAAAAATATTTGCAAGGTTTCCTGTCTGCAAAGTGAATCTTTCATTCTTCCAGACTGACATTTTTGTGCTACTACAGTGGATCCAGAAAGTCTTCTTTTTTTTCTTCTTTTAGTACTACAGAAGTAGTTCTCAATCAGTTTAAATTTCAAATAGCTCATTCTGCAGAAGCCAGAGTACTACACGGAAAGTTATGATGCTGGGGAACAGCAGAGCTGTTATCTGTGTGACAGAAACTCCTAGTGGTTACAAGCACTGCAGATGTGCATCTCCCTCACATTAATTTGTTCTAACTCAGGCCTACAAATGTGAAATGTTGTGATTTCTGAGTTGTTCATGACCACAGCATTTTGCTGTTGTAGCTGGGGTTAGGACTTCCATCAGGTCATACACAGAGCTGTCTTTCATGCGAAGATGTAGCACACAAGCAGTGCAGCCCCCAGAGCTGTTTGGGGCAGTGAGCAGCTTGGGCTGGCAGTTTCCAATAGCCACCATGCCATCTGTGGTAGCTGTCACAGACCTGCCCTGCACACAAACCCAAAAATCTGGAGACCAGTGGGGTTTGTTTCTCCCCTCTCCCCTCATCCCAACATCCACGTCCACCTAACAGCAAGGGCAGTATAAAAACTGAGAGCACTAGGAATTAATTATTTATGCATTTTTAACGCTGTAGTGTGGTTAATCTGTGCTTCCTTTTCAATGCTGTTACATGAAGAGCCAGAAAGTATCTCAGAGAGGTACTTCTATTTTCTTTGCCTTTCAGGTCTTTTAAATTAGGTCAGTTTACAAAGAACAACTCAGCTGTTTAGCACTTTTTATATGACAATCTCAAAGCAATTGATAATCAATTAATTCACAGCCTTGCTTTGATTTTGGATTTGTTATTTCTATTTTCACTGTAGACACCAAGGCAGAGAAAAATTCAATCATCTGCCAAATAGCACGCAATTCGGAAGTAGCAGAACCAAGAACAAGGACTCAGCATGCTGGATATACCCTTGGCAGCTTCCTTGAGCTGAACAAGCAAAACCTGAGTTGAGGCAATGCACACAGTGCCGGGAGGATTGCAGCTCACATCCGAGGCCTTCAGAGAGTGCACAGGGAGGACCGATTTGCCCACTTTCACACAAGGTTTTGCAAACATCATCACACCTTACCTTTGCTACCCTTGTGTGTGGGAATATATAACAGGACTAAAAGCAGCCAGCTGGAAAAGAGACAATTAATACCCTCTTTCACACACTAGTTGTTTCTAGCTCTCCAGTAGATGAGTTAGGCAGCTCATAACATCCTTAAGAATCGCCCTAAAAGCTCTGGCCCTGTGAAGCCAAGTTAGAAAGGGGCTTCTAAAAGGACAGAGGAGTTGTATTTCTGAGCATGAGTTTAACAAACCCAAACTGTATTACCACCACCTCCTCTCTGTGAACATGTTGAGGTGAGGGTTTTAATGAAGAACCCATTAAGGGCAGGAGAGGAAAACACACATTTCAGCAGCTTGAACTCACCTCTTGAGTTTCTCCTGATGTTTAAAAAAGACAGGGGGAGCTTCCCTGTTGCACCCTCTGTTGCATATGAGCTCCAGATGTGTGCATGCTATTTCCAGAGTCAGAGGATACAGATGTCATTAAATATGCTGGTGATCTGCTCCAGTCTATTGAAATTTTTTTTGTCTGAAATCAACACTCAAAAAAAGCATTTGAAGACTCAGCAAGAAGAGGGGAAACAACTGCAATGAAAGTTGTAGTTCCCGTATTACCAAAACAAGGTGCAGGGCACAGATCAAACCCAGTATCATGAGCCCTACATCCTGACAATTGATTCGGGAGATCTTGCAGGACCTCTGCAAAAAGTAAAAAACATTCTGACACGGTGTTTTCTTCTCACATGGTTGTAGGGTTATGAAATGGTTTTTTATGACCCATTCAGTCTTCCTTTTATAGCAGCCTATTTATACACTCCAATTCAGTCACAGCTTCCACTGTACTGATTACTAGAGTGCTCATTTCCTCATTCTGCCTTGCACACACATTTCTTTTCTCAATTTTTATTCTCTTCTTGTTAGAACTATTAGCCTTGCGTTACCTCCACTCTGTTGGTTAGCCTCTCCTAAGTTTCCTTTCTAGAGGCACTTGTCTCATGGACAACTAAGTAATCAACAGTTCAGTTATTGTACTTTAATAAAATAAACATTTTAAGAAAAGCTTTTCATCTTTGTTCGTTTTTAAATGCATGAAGTATAGATTCAACATAGTATTTGGGCAGTGGTTCAGTATCACTCAAGTTAAAACATCCTCTTCCACTCCAAACAGACCATGAAAATAAGACTTCTTACCACTCACTATTCTACCTACAGTGCTATTTACTTACTATGTCAGTGAGTGCCTAAAGGCCACTGATCTTTTTTGCTTACAGCATATATTATTAAGGTCACTGACATGTAAATCATTTGAAGATTGAAATCCAATTTAATGTTTTCCCATTTACACTAGACAAGTTGTGCAGCAAACTTTTTAACAGTGCTTCTAAATTTACAATACACTTAGTTCAAAACTCCTGAAGTTAATATTTTTGCACTTGGATTATTAGTGTTTGCTAAAACCCAAAACATTCTTCAGCAGACTAAAAGCTTCACATCCTTAGAACGTAAAATCTAAATATAAATGTGGTGGGCGTATGTGGATCTTTTCTCTCTGAGGAGGCTCTGTTACGAATTTCCAATGTTTTACGCCATCACCAAGCCTCTGCTAAGCCGTGACACCTGTTCAGAATTTTCAGCTTCTTAACCCCTTATTACACTTCCTACCATCCCCAGCAGAAGTGCAGAAGGTGGAAGAGTTCCATTGTCCCAGACTTGCTGTATTAATTCTCAATGGCTCCTTGGTGTCTTTTAGTATTTTATATTAATATCCACCTTAAGGACAACTAACTAAATGGATGAACTTGCTTCTCTCATAACAGACACTCTGGTTACCAAGCAGACCCTGGAAAGAAAACCTACAAATTCCATAGGAGGAACACTAAAGATAATACTGCTGACAGTAAATATTATTACTGATAATAATAAATGGTCTATACCAAAATGAAACAGCACTACAGCTTTTAAGTAACATTATGCTAAATGCATTCTTATCATTCATATTAATAACGATGTACTATTCTTAGGTTTGATATATTTAGCAAACATTGGCAGTGCACAATGCTAGTGATGAAAAATTCTTTTAGCATCAGTATGTACCCACTCTTTCTACTGTTTCTGCAAAAATTAAACCATGAGCGTATCTCCTAGTTAAAAGTCAAAATACTCTGTTGAGGTAAATGCCTTCTTAAGAAAACCTGTTTCCAAAGACTCTTTTTCATTACAAACCACGTGTATGACTCAGATTAATCACAATATGAATTTTGACCTGATTTATTCACACAAATCAATCCAAATTCATTTTAGACCCAAAATATATGATATTATAAGGATACTAGTAAATTTTTCCAGGTACTAGAGAATCTTGTATAAATGTATCTGTTCAAGTGCTTCTCTGTCAACATCCTTTTCCATATACACATCATAGTTTAGCTGCATCTCTTCGACCCATTGGCTGAGCTGTACATCTGTCTGAAACAACGAAAACAGATCCTTAAATTAACACCATGTTGAGAAACAGCAGGAGTTTCAAGGTCACTGCAACATTAAGAAAGCAAGACATAATATGAGAGATTAGTCATTCCAAATTATGCAGCAATGATAAATTCATTTCTGGAAATGCCATTTTAACTTATATAGGCGAGAATGAAGACAATTTTAAAAAACTATCTCAGTCAATAATCTAGATATTTTGCTAGCATATTACAACTGCCTCTCTATATGCATTTGTATAAGCCTCAAACGTCCTGATCAGAGGACAACATTTTGATAGAAGTGCTGAGGGAGCAGCTAACAGTACCACGGCAGAATCACAAGTATTTTCTTGTTTTACATCCAGGAAGTATTGCATTAAGACTACAAAGGACTTCTCAGCTGCTGCGTGACTATGGCTTGCTCCAAGAAAAGGTCAAATGACACCACTGCTGCTCCTGGGGCTGAGGATCTATTTCACACATCAGCACAGAGGCAACAAGTGATTCAATTTCTTTAAAGCTGACTACTGTGGTGAGCGAGTCACTTTATAAATAACCTTGTCATGGATGGTCAGTGTTTTGTTTCCTAACTAAAGCCAGGCCACATAATTTGTCTAGGCATCTCACACATTACCAGTGACTGATGGTAGAGTGGACAGAGAGCAGAGGTTGGTCCATCAGAAGCAGTTACTACTCAGGGAGCAACACCAGCACAGGGCATTCAACATCTTTGGAAGATGCACTGTCGTTGTGTCTGTTTCTAATCGCAATTTAAAGCCGATGTCACTGATTCAAGACTCCTGATGGTAATCACTTGGCTAGCTGGGAGACCACATCTCTCCCTAATCTGTACTTCCAACAGCTCATACTGTCATATTATGAGTACTTCTCTGTGCTGACAGCAGGTTAAAAAATAGAGTATCCTCAGGGATTGTCCTTCTTTAATATGTCCCTTTCTCTCAGTTTGTCACATTTCAAGGCAATGTGCAAATGCAGAACTAAATAAAGACAAGGTTTTGCCTCTAGAAGTCTCTAAATACATCTGTATTTCTGAAGTTCTACACCTATACCTGAAAAAACTCTGATGACAGTGTGCCCAGATGGCCAGGAAGGCCAATGGCATCCTGGTCTGTATCAAAAATAGTGTGGCCAGCAGGACCCTCTGTACTGAGCACTGGTGAGGCTGCACCTCAAGTGCTGTGACCAGTTCTGGGCCCCTCACTACAAGAAAGACATTGAGGTGCTGGATTGTGTCCAGAGAAGGGCAATGGAGCTGGTGAAGGGTCTGGAGCACAAGTCCTGTGAGGTTTTTAGCCTGGAGAAAAAGAGGCTCAAGATCTACCTTATTGCTACCTGAAAGGAGGTTGCAGCAAGGTGGGGGTTGGTGTCTTCTACCAGGCAACCAGTGACAGGACAAGAGGAAATGGCCTCAACCTGTGCCAGGAGAGGTTCAGGCTGAATGTCAGGAAGAATTTCTTCACTGAAAGGGTGATTAAGTATTGGAAGGGGTTGCCCAGGGAAGTAGTAGAGTCACCATCTCTGGAAGTGTTCAAGTGTTTAACCTCCCAGCTAAGGTATTTTTTTAATAAAACACATGATAATAAAATGATTCATGCAGTGTATTGATATAGGCAGGGATTTTCATTTTACAGGTGAGGACAATCAAAGTACAGGAAGATGTCTTGGTGGTCAACCTGGACATAGAATCCAGAGTCCTATACCTTTTAACCTTTGCACAAAATTAAATATCCTTCCTTACAGCAATACTGGCAAGCAGCTAATCTCAACTAAAGAACTGCCATTTTGATAGAAAATGACAAAGTGTGTCGGCTAAAACTGGCTGAGGGAACTTACCTGGAGCTTTGAAAGTGATTCTTGAAGACTGGGAACTGTCACTAATAAGGACCCTCTTTTCCTTATATTACAAGCAATAAATTCCCAAGCTCTGAAACATATTTAAAAGTAGGTCACCAATTTTTAGGGGAAAACTCCCCACCTTTGATATAAAATGAATCTAACATAGTTTATTGGTAGAGGTAGACTAAGCTTAAAGACTTGCCATACATGCTTATCAGTCACTATTAATATCTAAGTAAATATCTTTGCATGAACAAAATCAAGCTTCTTATTAAAAACACAGGAATATATGGTCTTACAATGTCAGATTTAGTAGCTTTTTAACTCTGATATATACATGTATGCCATTTGGTATTGTCAACACCTTCATTCTGAACTAGGATTAAACATTGACATTTGGCCCCTTTAAACTTTTGGGTTTGAAGAAAATCCAGTCTCTAAGCACAGTATTCTATTAAGCTTCACAACAAGTTGCTCTTTACATAAATACCTTGCAGTCGTGACAAAGTACTTCTCTTAAGATATCAGTAATCAGAATATTTAAATATAGCCCCCAGCATTCCTTTTTTCTGATTTTGCAAGTCAGATAATTTCTAACAGCACAGCAATTCAGTCTAAAAAGAATTTAATTTCAAGCAATCTTCAAATGTAATTTGTCTTCACACTACTAATGCAACACTAAACCACTATCCCCGAGTTACCACAGAATCAAATGAATTCTCAGTCATGTGTCTGGAAACGTATCTCCTTACATTTTGAAACAACCACTGCCCTTCACCCATCCACTCTGTGCCTTTCTGGTTGACATTACCACCTAGTATCCAGGGCAGTAGAACAAGCCTTAGCTGAAACTAAGACTTAGCTGGGACAGTGGAGACACAAGTACTCCTTTTTGACTGCCCATTCTAAAGGAACAGTAACTTCGGATGATCAAGTTATTTGTATCTTAAACTTATGCTGCTGGATTAGCAAAAGCTTTTCTGTGAGGGTCTTGTACCTGAAAGAAAACCTTAGCCACGTGTTTGTTTGCTACCACATGCTTATGAAGATATATTAGAAATATTAATAACCATGCATTGCAGTGCATCTATATTAAAGCTCTGACATCTACTAGTTGAGTGACCTGTCTTCTTCTGAAGATTAAGCTTTATGCTGATATACTAATTTCAGATCCTTTAGCAGCAAGATACTTGTTTAACAGATCAGTGCAAAAATTCAGGGCAAGGTCTAGGTAAACAAAGCAGCAGTGTTTAGTGAGTTTAACAATACATACTGCCATTACACCTTAGCAGTGTAACAATTAAGTGTAGGCAGTTTAAAACAATTACCTGATGTAATTTATGTATGTGACTTCAAAAAGCACAACCTTAAGGTTTGCCATAACTCACAAGGTTACACACACATTGCCAAAGAAATAGATAACTTGTCTGGACACAGAGCCTACCTGACCTGTTCCTGTCTGTCAAGAAAATATTCAAAGACATTATTCATTACAACAACATCAGCCTTCTGAAGAAGTGAAGCCTGAGTACAGATGTCTGCATGAACCACCTGAAGGAGAAAATTTTCACAAGGCATAAATTAAGAGACAAATACAGCCTCCATGTAGTCATGAAGCTTGTCAGTGTAACACAGCACTTGCTACCACCATTTTGAACCAGTCACAAAAACAGGCATTTCACTGGCTTCACAGTAGATAAAACTGAAGTAAATAACCAGAATAACCTTTAAAAAATTTTAAAAATTTTAAAAAGAGATTTATCCAATTAAACCACTTAATCCATTATGTAAAGTGAAATAAAGTACATCTGAATTTTGGTCTGGAACTCTGTGTGCCATGTGATGGCTGTTACATTTCACTTGCCTCTATTTTATGACAAATGTTCACCAATTTCAGGTAAGGAGCTAAGCTAGTTGAAGCTATTTTGAGGATATTAAAAAGCATCTCACAGGGTCAGTGGATTACTGAAAGATTATAGCTAGAAAAGACACTACAGACCCAGACTTGACAGCTGAATTCTCACAACACATGTTGGGACTGGGAATGCTGGAAAGTCAGGATGCTCAGTGTCACTAGATGACAGCAAATGCTTTACCTTACTAAACAACTACCTCTCCAGTCAGCATAGGAGGAGCTGTTTTGATTTCATCTACCTTCACCTAACAAAAAGGATATTAGCACATCATGTCATTTTTCAAAACAGGTGAGACAGGAAAATATAGATGTTCATTAACATTCTGACAAGATGTGTTTGACTTCCTCTTAAAGACAAAGAAGTATATCAGTCTGACTCGATGACCCTCATCCTTGTGGGTCGCTTTCAAGTCAGGATATTCTATTATTCTGCACCCCCAATCTGAGGAGAAATATAAATCGGAACAACTTTTGAAGGGATAAGTAGTAATCAGCATGGATTCACTAGAGGTAAACCATGCTTGACCAAACTGATTGAGTTCTATGATGAAACAACTACTTGGAGGGGAGAACAGTGGATATTGTCTACCTCGACTCCAGCAAAGCTTTTGACACTGTCACAACATCCTCATAGGCAAACTCAGGGTTTGTGAACTGGATGAGTGGACAGTGAGGTGAATTCAGAACTGTCTGAACAGCAGAACCCACAGGGTTGTAATCAGTGGCACAGGATCTAGCTGGAGGCCTGTCACTACTGATGTCCACCAAGGTTCGATACTGGCCCCAGTATTGTTTAGCTCATTCATCAGTGACTTGGATGGAGGGGCAGATGCCTCCTCAGCAAGTTCACTGAGGACACAAAGCTGGAGGAGTGGTTGATAACCCAGAGGGCTGTGCAGCCCTTCAGAAGGACCTCAACAGGTTGGAGAGACAGGCAGAGAGGAACAGACTGAAATTCAGCAAAGGCAAATGCAGGGTCCTGCACCTGGGGAAGAATAACCCTGGGCACCAGTACAGGCTGGGGGCTGAACTGCTGGGAAGCAGCTCTGCAGAGAAGGACCTGGGGGTCCTGGTAGAGAGCAAGGTGTCCATGAGCCAGCAGTGTCATATGGCCAAGAAGGTCAATGATATCCTGGGGTGCAGCAGGAAGAGCATTGCCAGCAGGTCGAGGGAGGTGATCATGCCCCTCTACTCAGCCCCAATGAGGCCACATCTGGAGTGGTGTGTTCCATTCCAGGTTTCACAGTACAAGAGCTCCTGAAGCAGCTCCAGTGGAGGGCCACAAAGATGATTAAGGGACTGGAGCATCTCTCTTAAAAGGAAAGCCTGAGGGAGTTGGGCCTGTTCAGCCTCAAGAAGAGACAACTGAGAGGGGACCTCATCAATGACTGTAAGAATCTGCAGGGAGGGTGTCAAGAGGATGGAGCCAGGCTCCTCCCAGTGGTGCCAAGCAATAGGACAAGAGGCACCTGCTAGAAACTGTTGTACAGGAAGTTCCACCTGAACACGAAGAAGAACTTTACTGTGTGAGTGACTGAGCACAGGAACAGATTGCCCGGAGAGGTTGTGGAGTCTCCCTCTCCGCAGGGGAGATATTCAAGAACCATCTGGATGCAATCTTGTGCCCTGTGCTCTGGGATGACCCTGCTTGAGCAAGCAGTTGGACCAGATGACCCAATGTGGTCCCTTCCAACCTGAACCATTCTGTGATTCTGTGATAAGAGGCAGAAAGTCAATCTGAATATTGCATTCCAGAAATTTTGTTTGAAAGTGCATCCCTGTATGTTGAAAATTGTCAGAAAATCTGAACAACTTATTTTCTTTCTTGTGTGACCTATTACTAGGTTGGGCTGGGAATACACTAATCTGATGGATTCAACATTTCACATTTTGTCAAATCCTACGGAGATTGGAGAGAAAAGCTGAATGTTAGTACAGATTTTTATCAGAACACCTGTTGAAAAACGTTTTGCCCACTTAACAATATATCAACACTTGTTCTGAGGGTAAATTATGTATTTCTCCTATTAACAAAAGCTCTTTAATCTCTTATCCTTAAAGGGAAAATAATAACAAACCCATAGAATTTCTGTATAAAAATCCCCACCTGAGCAGCAGTCCTTTAATCTATACAATGAGTGGTGAACTGTTGCACCAGTGGACTTCTTGCAGCACAAGAAGTCATGATTAGCACTAATCAGCATTTCTTAATGCTCTACTAATGGTATTTCTAATATTTTAAGCCACAATTCAGAAGGATGTTTAAACTTCTGGGAAACTTTTAACGTTATGTTGATGTTTCCTTGACTTGAATGATACTTAACTTAAAATTACTCTGCATTTACAGAGTAGGTGACTGAGCTGACCAAAGTCACCTAAGCACCTCATTCTCCACAAACATATCCTCGTTCCTGTTGGGGAATGTGGGACCACATAAGCATGTGTGGCTGCAACATGAGCCAGACCAGGTACTGCTCTAGTCAAAACCCCAGTATTGCTGGGTTCTTTTTCAGCTGGACCGGTTCCCTGATCGGATTGGCTGTGTGCTGGCACAACAGAGGAACCAGCAACTGATTTTAAAACTATCCTGTTGCCCCATGGAATACACATCAAGCCTTTCACAATTACAGGCAATTTCTGAATTGAGGTCTCAAGTTTCCTAAGATCTGTTGAACTGTTTACTTTCCTCACAGTATTTAAATGTTTGCTCAAATGGAAAAAGATGCTGAGCAACCTTCTATGTACTTTAACAAACCAAGTGTTGACCAATGAAACCCAAGGTTCACTCAGAGATTTAGCCACTAAAGATATCATTTCACTTTGCTGTCCTTTGAGAACACTGTCTAATAAAAATTCAGAATATCTTGAAAACAACAATTGCTATTTAAGAAGGGTCTCCTAAAAGGTTTTCAAATTTGTGTCATAAATTATTATCAGCAATGTGATTCTCACTGTTTTTCAAGCTGGTATTCTCTCTGGAGAGGATTCATTTGGGGGTGAAATAAAAATCTAGAATTGAAATGTTCAAAGCAGTGTGATAACAGGAGTCACATGACCAAATTAGTCTAATGAGACTCAAATAGCTAAGTCCTGAGGCACTGCTTTGAAAACATATTATCTTCTTATCTTTATGCTCCAAAATGAATACTTCAGCAGAATTACAAGGTGTGAAGGAAAACCAAAAAAACCTATAATGAAGAACATATAAGGTTATGAAAAGTATACTTACAGGTCTCCAGCTCCACTGAATTAACTTGACAGAGTTCCTAAGTGTACTTTCAGTTTCATCACAATAAGGTGTTATGAACACAAAACATATGGAAAGGCCAAAGGTTCTGGATCAACTGTCAGCAACTGGGATTGAACTGAGCAACCTAATGATACTGCTTACCCTGTGTTAAATATTTTACATTTATTATTTATTTCTAGTTTAAAATTCTTTGATTCCCAAGAAATTACTATACTCAGCAATTTGTGTGAATTCTTTCAAGAGCACATGCATATAAAACTGGATTAAAGCCAGTATTATACCCAGCATATTCTACTTACCAACTTTTGCTGGTAACAAAATAACTGGTATTCTCCAGAAAGGAATTTTTTTCCTCATTAAAATATTAGTAGTTATTCCCATAATGGGACTAGGGACGTGGTTCCCATAATGATATCACATTGTTTGAAACACATTTTGTTTGTGGAAGGTACATATACACTGACATTCTATGAAAGGCAATACCAATAGCTCTTAAGTCCTACAAACATCCTTCTGCTGACAACAGCAAATCACAGATGTTTAGTTGTGTTTAGTAACAGAAATTCTTCATACACTTCAGTTTCACAGAAGTGAGTGGCAATAACATCATTGATTTCACCGGGAGAAACAGATATATCTGTTTTGTGTGAGCCAACGGGTAAGTCCATTCAGGAAAAAGGCCAAGTGAATCATATTTTGATAATTTCCCTCTTCCGCTATGAGATTTTTTTTCCCTAATGCAAAGCCTTTGTTTCAGATCAGCACAAGCAAAGGCAGAAATTTCTAAGAATGCTGATTTACCAGCCATTCACATAAACAGAATACCTAGTACATGGTGATTAAAGGTACATAAACTAAAACATTATATTTACTTACCTTTATTCTGTCAATGAACTCATATTTTGTAATCATAAGTTCTTGCAACTTGCAAAAGTCTGCATTCATTTCTACTCCATACAGCTGGGATGCTGAGCTATAAAGATAACCCTACATTAGGAAAAGGAAATTTAGTAACTGCAATGCCTCTAAAACAAGTTAAAATTTTTCAATTAAAAAGAAAAGAATAAAACAGAAGTTAAGATTAAAAAAACATTTTAAAACAGGAAGTTGAGAAATGTCTTTCAGTGGACGTGATGTATTTTTCAGAGCTAAGCCCCTGATTTGGCAATTCCCACTTACATCTCTTAAATTTTAGTAAGAGATCCAAAATGACACATCAAAATAATAAAAAGAAGAGGAAAGTTCCAACTTCAATTGCAAAACAGTTGGAAAATAATCTAAGAAGGAAAAAAGCTGTACAAAAAACAAGTTATAAAAATAGTGCAAAAGGAAAAGAATGCATAATTTTGTTTCTTGGGAGAATGGAAGAAGAAAATAGCACGAAAAAAAGAAAACAAAAACATGAGACATAACATATAGTCAAAATGAGTGAAACTAGAGGACAACGTACATGGGGTATTTTGATACAAAGTCTTTGTCAGCACCTCTAAGTTATTGTATTACTAACATTTTCAGATGCTTCATAGAGGTACATATGGGGAAAAAAAAGCTAAATTATGCCTTAATAATAAGCCCCGCAAAATAGCTTCGGTTTTGGACTGAGATTTTGGAAAGTTGCTGGAGATGTTAGGGAAAGAAAAGTACAAATACTTGAGCATACAGGGCCCTAAAGAAGACTCTGCTTTAAGTGCCACTGTCTCCACTGAACATAATAATTACACTTTGCCAACAATGGCAAAGACAAGCAAACAATACTGAAGATACAGAGTATCTGAGATACCCATGTAGTACAACTTAATTATTAATGTTTTCTGAAACCACTCAACTCAGAGAGTAGAAAAGCAACCTGCGAAGGTGAAGTCACCCCTCCTCCATGGCAAGAACATATTATAAAGGAGAACTCTTTTTTAAAAGAGCGTTTTATTTGAGAATATCTTCTACTGTAACAATACAAGCATTTAAGTACTTCAAAACAAATTCAGCCTAGCAAAAGTGTTACCATTTAAGGACCCAATGCTGCAAATATTTACAAATGGGAGTAACTTTCCTCATTTGAGTAGTCCCAAAATTAGATTATTCAGATGAGTAGAATTACATGCTCAAGTGTTTCCAAGACTGAGCCCTAAACAGCCACTGACTTTTTTAAGAAAATAGTAATGTGTGTTTTGCATTGCTGTTGGCCATATGTTGCACCAGCCATGCCAAAAGCAATCAAAATTGCACTCAAGTTTCTCAATGAAGTATTTTATGTGCATTTTAAAACACAGAGCAGGACAATATGTTTTTGCAGACAAGTTCATATCAAAGTCTTCCTTTGTATAATTTAACAGTTTGTCAGCTTCATAAAGGAATTTAACATAATGAATCTATATATAGGCATGGTCAAGATATTAGAGGACAAACTTACTTATGAAAGAGGCAGCAGGAACTACCAAAAGAGCAGCATGTGTGACAGCAATATGCTATTCTGTTGGACAACAGACTTTTCCTGTCCATAAGCAAGATCGTTTGTATTCCCTCTTGTGAGGAACACAGGAAGAACTGAAATTGCTAGTAAACAGCACCTTATACTATGCAGAGAGTCAGATCAGAGGTGCCTCTCAGAATGACCCATCCAAGATGGAGTAAAAGAGTAGGCAGTCAGAGAAGAGGGAAAATATTTGTCACAGTAATAAAATATGAATTCCTGTGCTGGAAGTTACCGCAAATAGCACTGCACCAAGCCTGGAGCCAACGTCAACCACTACCTTTCCTGTCAGGTCAGGCAGTACATGTTGATAAAGAAACTTCAGTTCCATGAGGGAAAAGGAATGCGAAATAAACTCTGGGAAATAAGAACAGAACAAAGGTGTTGGGTGGGCAGTACTAACTACTGTGTTATTAACCAATGAAATAATAACCTGAGGAGTTATCATCACTGAAAACGCGCATGGTTTCCTGTCTGAACTAGTGCTGGGGACTCTGGAACACCAGGGTTTGCAGATCAGAGGTAGCCTGCCAGGTAATCTGTCCCAAGTCTGGAGATTCCTTGCCTTACATGGAGAATTTTGAAATCCTTCATGAAACTGAATTACCTTTTTCTGCAAGTGACATATATTAAAGAATACAAAAAAAGTAACTTTGAACTGTTTAACTGAAAAAGGAAACATGGTACCTAAGGCCTAACACAATTCATGCAAAAATTTTTATGAGCATACTAATAGCTTTAAATTTCAACTCCAAGGTTTTAACGAACAGAAGGTTCATCATATAAACCATTCCTTCAATGCCTGTGCTATACTGGCAACAGCACTGATCTGTACCACACCACACACAAGCTTTAAGACAGATGGTGCTTTCTACTGCTTTTCAGCATGTGAGGCGAGGCCAAGGTTACTGCATGGACTCCTACAGTATTGTCTTCCTCTCATGTCTTCCTTTCCAGTGGTACATAGCCCTGTCTCTTACATGTCCAGTTTTTGTGGGCAACTAGCATCACTCACATACTGCAAATGAATTCCACTTACGTGTGCAGGAGTCTCCTTCCACTGGTTATGGGAAATAATTCTGGCCTCTGTACTGCACCGGTCTGGACAAAGCCCTCCGTCAGCCAGATGTTGTGTTGTCCAGCTGAGTCACTGCACAAACCAGTTTAGTTAAACTGAACTTGTTTCTCATGTTCCCAAAAGAGCACTTACCTAAAGATGCAGTTTTGTATGAGCCACACTCTGTGCAGTAGCTCCTACTCATTTTCCCTTCCTCACACAATGAATCAACAACATCATCATCATAAAGGAATGCATCAACATGAATCATGGGCAGTGGATGCTGGTGTATCTGAGAAGAGGAACACAATCTTAGAAAGGCATAACCAAATCTCTTAATTTCACTTACACTGTCACATGGTTAACTGCCCCACCATCCTACCCTTCCCAAAATACCCAAGATCCATGTTTTTCCCTATGCATAAGTTACAAATCAAAATTAAACAAATCCTGCCTGTAAACTGGACCATCAAATTCCACTGAAATAACCAGTAAGTGGAAGTTGACAGAGGAAAGCAAGCTGGTTTCGATAGTTGGGTAGGGGACCTGACGTGAATTTGTCTCCCTTGTGCTTACTTGGCTACAGAGGAGGTACAGGGTAAAGGAAGCTTTTTCTCTTCCTCTTTAATGAGGAGAATGTAACTTAAATTTAGGAAAAAGGGCAACTTTGCTTCTCAGCCTCAACTGACTATTCTCATCTTCATGCCTTATGCCTCAGTCTAGAAATGTCCCTGATTAACATGGGTGTCACTTTCAATCAAAAGAATACCAGTTGGGATGCTTGCCTTCTCATCACTTCAAGAGGCATAATATTCATCCTCCTACTCCTTTTTCCTCCCTTTTCCAGGCTTGCTGTGTGGGGTCAATCCACTTTTTCCACTGAAAAGCTACACATCACTTTTCTGGGAAATGCACTTGTATACTGACAGCTCAAGTAGAAAAGGTGCTCTCCCCTCCCACAGAACTCACAGCCCACCTCTTTCTGAGCCATCAGAATCTGAAAAGAGCTGGAAATAATCCTGGGCTGCCCACATTATGGCAACAGTGAAACACTGGCCCTGCATTTCTGTTTTCTTTAAGGGTGCTATTAGAGTTTATTATGGAGTTAGCATTAGAGAATCACTGTGACAGGTGCCATACCACACAGAATGAAAGCTATGTCAAATAACTTATAATCAAAGTATTAAGAGCTATGAAGCAACTTTCTTGGAGTCAGGCAAACATGCAGAAACAAACTTGAGAAGCAAACTGAGATTTCCCATACCTCAATCCAGTGCTCATTATTAAGAACAACTACTAAAAATGAAATCAGAATAAATTATGTGGTTCAGCAAAAGCAGACCGTAACAATGAGCTTACTTTCTGAAGAGCTTGATGTTCCGAAGTAAACATTGCCTCAATGGGTAAACGATTCCGCAAATCTTCAGCAATATTTTTGAGCACAACATCATTGTTACTCACCACAAGCTCATCAAAGTCATCTATAAATCAAGACAAACAAAAACAGCTGCACAATCATATGTAGATCATGTGGACTAAGTGATGACCAGTACAATACAGTTGCAAGACATAAACAACACCAGATGGATAAGGTTTTTTATTCAAATGCATTTTTCAGCCTTTGTTAGCTTTTCCAGCCAATGAGATTTTTGGATTGTAATAACTTTGCCACTTAAAATAAATGCAGTGCTTTTCTGAAATCTCAAATTATTTTCATATTTATAAACTCATAACTTACATATGATGGTCTGGGCTGCCACCAAAGTGATACTGTTTCAGCTTAAGATATAAAAACATCAAAGATGTTTTTGAACTATTGGAGAAATTATAAAACTCATAGTTGCCCAAATGCGGGCTTTTTTTTTTTTTTAATATGCAAGTTTCTTTTTATACATACCATCTTTCTAATAAAGTACTTAAAAAAATCAGGGAAAATGCAAGTTCAAAGTTCAACTCACAATACATTCTACATGACTTAAACTATCAAAATATTTCAAATGGGAAAGAATATAGGAGTGGATGTAAACCACTACAGTTTTGCAAAGCCACATTGTAAATTTTTGCTGTTTTTCTAGGATGTCCCTGCATTACTTCAACACAATTTTTTTAAGACATCTAGAAAAAAGATCGAGAAGGAAACCTTGTGAACTCGCTAATCCTTTCTTCCTCCAAGGTTGAATCAATAATAAGTGTCACTACTTCTCCAAAACATTCTTTAAAAAATAATTGTTAATGCTGGAGACTCCACAACCACCCTTAGCAATCTATTACAGTGCTTGACTACCCTTACTATTAGAAAGGAATACTTTTCTTAATTACTGATCTAGATTTCCTCTGCCACTATTTAAACCCAGGACTCTCTGCACTACTAGCAACGAAAAAAGAAAAGTTTGTTCCTCTCCCATTATACAGCAACTATTTACTTCTCTGAAGACTTATCATGTGTCATATCAGTCTTCTTTTCTAAGAAGAAACAATATTCACCTATCCAGACCTTTCCTGCATTTTTTTTCTAGAAGTGTGATCATTCTCAACACTTCTCTTTGGATCTTCTGGGCTCTCTCATCCTTTATGACCTGCAGTATCGAGAACCAGACACTCCAGCTAAAGGTTTATTTGCAAGAACCAGACTTTTCACATCTTGCAGTCAATATCCTGCTTACACACCCCAGTTTTAATGTTAAGAGTATGATGTTCCTAACTGGCAGTCAGCACGAGATCTGCTGTACACCTTACTCTGTTCCTTTTCTGTTACGTTTTCCTCAAAAGAAGGACTAGATAAAATTTCTTTTTGTCTGGACATCTCACTGCTCTGAGGATGCTGGATTGGTTCTAAACTAAGGCACATCTCAGGTCAAAACTACATACCTGTAAAAGAAACAAAAAACAACAACAAAAAGCAATCACAAATCTAATCCTGAAAAAATATACCAAACCCATCTATTAATTCTTGTCTAAGAACAGACATATATGTCCTCTCTTTCCCACCCCTTCTGGTTTGTTTCTTGTTCTGTTTAGACTGCCACCATGTTGGGCAGTGAATGTGCTTTTTATATACACTTCCATTACTCACAAAAAGAAAATCTGACAGCTTTTACAGGTGTTTTAAAAAAAGATAATGCTTGCTAGCATTGCTGTTCCAGGTGGGAACACTAGTACAGAAATGTTTGATGGCAAGCAGGTTCAAAATAAATCTATAGAACATGCTACAAGTTTCTCTGTACTAATATACTTCACCTTTCCTGTGTATCACAGGAAATGCTAAAAACAGTGAGAAATTTTAAGGCTAGTATAGGAAAGAGAGACCAGCTAAGCTTTTAACTATGAAATGCTTCTGAAATGCTTTTTGCTTAAGTACTGGAGTGAGAATAATATGATTAAAGAAACCCTCATTCATCGGTGCAAGACGCTTTCTTAAGAGTGCAAATGTAAATGTTTTTTTCGACATGTCCCAAAATGAACTCCAAGAAATAATCCTGAATCCCCCATAATAAGCACCAGAAAATTTAAATTAACTGTATTCCCTTAAGATATATTTGGTTTATATTTTATTTAATATACAGCAGTAATGCTCCAAGGCCCCGATGGGCCATTACCATTGGCAGTTGTTATATGACAGGAAGACAATTCACTGTTCCAAAGCACTCACAGCTAAGTTCTCCAGAATCTGACCTTTTACACAGACGCAGACTTTGCACTGAGGAAGGGATAGAGACACAACAGGTGCAATGCAGCATCTCCAGCTCGTCAGCATTTTACTTTGAAACCTCTAATGAGCACCTATCCTGTTAAACTCATGGTCATCCGACAACTTACAATTTTGTTATGAACATCCCAGAAGCAGTGAGTGATTTTTCTGATCAGCTCAGGGAAGATTTCTATAGATATGATAAAGCACAGAAAATAAACCCAGATACCATGGGAAGGGAAGGTGGCAAATCTAACTGTAGCTTAACTGGGACCATCAGCACCACAAGACACCCTCAGAGTGCAGAGGCGCCAGTTTGCTGAGGTGGATAATGTCTGAGGAAGCAAGAGGAAAAATCGTGCTACAGACAGAACAAGAGAGCAGAAAGCTGATATTAGCAGCTGTACAGATCAGTGCCTGTGGGCAATAAGCCCCTACATCTGGTGCTTGCTTTAAAACAATACTATTACTATGCAAGAGAGCTCATCCAGCTGTTATACTGCCTGTTAAGAGTATCAAATTCATATATAGCGTTTAATGAAATGCAGAAAGTGTTCCTAGACCACCAGGCCTGCCATATCACACGGGATGAATGCAGAACTTCAGCTCTCTTCCTCCCAGAGCTGGTGCCTCAATAGGATCTGCTCCCCCATGGTCTATGTGACCTTTCCTGGTCAACATTAGTGGCAGACAGCTCTCCAGACTATTCAGTGTCCCAGCTCTACTGTAGAGAAATGGACACCTTCAGTGGGAGACAGGTAGCACATTCATCTTCCTCAAATCCAGAATACGCCTTCCCTGCCTTGACTTTGGTTTATGCAATACCTGTCACAACACTGACCATCGTACATGGGGCCCTCTGAGCTCTTCCTATGAAACAAAGTATGATACACACAAGTTCTTGTATGTTCTGTATGACACAGGTCCTAGGGAAAATCTTACAACACATATGCAGCTCAAAAAACTGTTGAAACACTGACACTGAAAAACAAATGACAAACGGAAATGCTCCTTTCCAACTTTCAGTTAATACTGTAAAGTGTAACATGTAGGAACAGAAAAGGAGAAGGAGGTCTGAAGGCACTCCTTCTGAGATGACAAAATGGCAGCTGCAGCAGAAGCTGCATATGCAACACTCCACACTTGCGGGTAGAGTCTGTGAGTGAACTCTGAGGCAGAGAGTTGCCTCGCTCCTGTCAAAGCAAGAAATAGCAACAGCTACCACAATAACTCATTTACTTTTGCAGTATGTAAATATTTGTAGATTGCCATCAAGTAGGAAACACGGGTGCCAAATACGAAAATACACATCTCTGCCTCTGCTGCTACAGTTTTATCAACTCCACCCCTGTGCTTAACAAACTGTTCACTCTTGAGAATCTCAGCATCCCCTTACAAAGAATCTTCAAAGAAGAAACAAAAATAGAAAACTATTTTTGATACCATTTTAATGCCTGTTATATATATGAAATGGAAGCAAACCCATGTTCATTGAACAGACAACTAAGCAGGAAATGTGCAGTTCATGAAACACTACAGGATGAATCACAATCATTTGTTTATGGAGGAAGTCTGAGTGTGCAGTGTTTGTATTTTACTTCAAAAACTGGTTCCACTGGATCTATTCAACATGCATTTATAAAATTTAATTTGCACATTGCAAAAAGCCTCATTAACACCCTAGTCCTACTCAGCCTTTCTACACAAGCTAAGAGACTATCACAAAGCCTTACACCAGATACAGCACCGCTATATCAACATCTGAACATCCTGGCACTGCAAAATACATGATTGAAGACAAGTACAATTTCCAAATGACAACAGAAGATTACATGTCATATGGAAAGAAGAGGATTTAGCAAAGGCAACCATAACAGCAAGCACCTTATGGTCTTCTAGATATATACTCAGACTCACTGAAGTAAAAAGCAAATATTAACACCCATGTAACTTAATATGAGTTTAATTTAATAATTCAGTGTGTTTTAATAATACTGAACAAGTCAGGGAGGAAGTACCACATCTCTAAAGCTTTACTATCGCCTCTTTTGGCTAAACAGTTTGAGAAGCAAAATGTGACCTCAGTATACCAAGTACTTCAGGAACTCTAAATATTATTTCTAACCCTAAGCATACTCAGCTATTGGTAGAATGTAATTGGGTTTTTGAATAGAAATATAACCAGAACTTACTTCATTAGTTCTCTAAGTCTTTTACATTGATTAATTGAAAGAAACTTTTAAGTTAAATTTTAAACAAGGTAAGTCACATACCTACTTTACAATCAATAGTTTTCCCCACCACTACTAAGTTTCAGTGACTAACAACTTAGAAGTAGTTGGTATTCTTGAGACCTCTCTCATGTCAGTATAATTTGTGACAACATAGCAAATTAATGCCTATTCTCAAAGTTGATGATTCACAGGTAACACCCCATTTTACTTTATCAAATAGAATAGTGGAATAATGTGACAACACAATGTTATTTTTATCTCTTCTGAAAGGATATTTTACTTGGATAAATCACTTCTACCAATCTGGATATGAAGGCCTGTACTAAATTGCTTTTTCACAGACACACACACACAAATAAATACTTCTTACATTGCAGAACCCCAAGTTTTCATTCTTTTTAAATATACTCATTCCACTTCAGTTTCACTTGCAGTGACAATAGTAAGGAATCATTAAAAGAGTCAAGTTTTTTCTTACACTGTTTCCTCTTCTTTTGTGAAAATATCATTTGATAACTTTACCTAGCAGGTCTGAGAATGTGCTAATGCCTAGATAATAAAGTACATAATTGAAAATGCAGTACAAACGTGGTCTGTTCCTAAAAGTATGATGAGAAGTTTCTTCTCTGTATGCAGAACTCTACTAAAGCAGCACATCCTCCATAGTCCAGTTAGGTTAATTTTGTCAGATACTTCTTCATTGCCTGTTAAAAGCCTGAATCTAAAGCACTGACTGCCCTCAACTTTCAAGTCACAAGACTAAATTGTATGCCAGACTCTTGGTTGCTGTACTAGTTTGCTCCCAGTACAAGTAAATCCACAAGAAAAACATGATTTGTACTTAATTATATGTTGTTTCTCCTTAACTTAGATTTGCAATGATTTATTATTCAATTATTATTTTGAGTAATAATTTTGATATTGAATATTTTGAGTACTGTATGAATAATCAGCACAGACTGGAAAAAGTTTGTAAGATTGTTTTATTACACTGTTACATGACTAAAAAAAAAGTCAAAATTTAGTATTAGAACAGTCTGTTTTAGTCCTGCTGAAAAAATATTTCTTAACCTATTTTACATCCCACAGCAGAACACAAAAAGCATAAAGGATCTCATCACCTTATCTGTGCTTCACTGACATTAACTTTGTAACAGACAGGCTTTGTAATCTGCATTAAGGTGCTAAGTACAGCAAAAGCATTCAGTAGCTGCCAATAAACAGAATGGTTTGGTGACTTCAGTCTCAAAATTGAAATTCATATTCCTGTATTTACTTTCTCTGATTTCCTTTTCTCTGTTCATGTATACAGATAGCTTAATCAATTCTGCTTTCACTGGTTTTCTCCTCCAGCACCCATTTGTACCAAATGCAACCTCTTCTGATACTGAAGATTCTTAAAAGTTTGGGCAGTGGAGGTGCGAATATGACAGTGGGAACATGACTATGCACAAATTCTTACAGAAGCTACACATCAAATGCTGGGACCTCACTGAGGGGGATCTTCAGCAGGGTTTCCCCAAGTGGTTTGAATTAGCTCTTGGGCTTCACCCAGGTTTTCTTAGCCAGAACTTCTGGAACATGGTTATTGCAGAAGGATATTAAGGCATTAATCATCCTATTATAAGAAAGTTAAGACACCAAAGATTCCTGTTCTTCTTTCCAACTCTTATTATTTAATTTGATTTGAGATCTAAGACTAAGTCAAAAGAAAAGCTGGAATACAAGTCACCGTGAAATGACGTACATTTCACTGCAGTGTGTGGGAAGAGCTGGCTGATTGTGAAACAGCAAAGCAATGTTGCTAAGCAGCTGCTTTAAAACAGTCTTCTTCCATCACATATAAAAATTTGGAATTTCTAAAATTCACAATACCCCAAAACAGGGGGGAAAAAAAGCAAAAAAAAAAGCAGCATGACTGGTTATTTTATTTTGTATTCATACAAAGAAAAAAATTAATAGAATCTTGCATACACTTACATTCCTGTAATTACTAAGGAAAGTTTGTCAGAAATCATTGGAATGAGAATGTGTTCAACATTCTCTCCGTTCAAAATATGTAAGAGTCTTTACTTTAGATAAGATAACTCTCTTTATTATTAAAGAATTTGTCTCTTCCATGGAAAAATTTTTCAATAACATTCCACGCATTCAGCGTGCAAGTCAGAAAACAGTAACCAAGTTAAAGGGCTATGAGGATGATTAAGAGACTGGAGCATCTCTATTATGAGGAACACTGATCAAGTAAAAGTGATAAATAAGGCTGTCTTTGCAACAACACTAATCCTAAAGGGCAACCACTTCATACAGAGCTTAACTCTAAGGACGCATGTACACTTAATAATTGAGAGACAGGTGTGAGGGAGGAAAAAAAGCCTGACTACAGCTAACACTGGAATCATGCCCAGTCCTCCTCAGTTAGAGGTAAAACTATAAGATCAACATTTTGACAGAAACAGGAACAGGATGCAGTAGAGGAAGGGGGGGAACCCTTTTACCACAGGAAAACTATTTGTCTGTGGAGATACCATTTTTGTTTACATTTATCCTATCCTAGTTTTCATTCAGAATATTATCTCCCCATCCCTACAACTTTTTTTCTTTTGTTCATCAGAGGTTTGTTTCTTTCCTACATCTGTATTGCCAAAGACTAGGCTTTTATTTTTGTGTGGCACACAGACCTGGTAACATTTTAACATCTCCCATGAAACAAGTTTTCTCTCTGCACAGAGAGAACACCATATTCCCTAGCTGTATTCAGGGTACAGCAGCAGAAACCCCTACCAGCTCCTCACTATCCTCAGTCCAACCAGTATTAATTATCACGGCACTATCTAGGCGTTATAATGGGCAGTATAATTATCCAAATGCAACAATTCTGAGGGGAGGGAAAATACCCCACAGTAAAAGTTACTGTCAAGGATGCAGCCAAAGAAGCAGGTCAGAGAAACAATACAAAAAGAAGCATCATGAAGAGTGTTGTGTTGGGAACGTCACCCGAAATATTTGCATCTCTGAGAAAGCTGCAAAAAGGCTGAAGGAATGCGACCTGTAGGACAATGGCTCTGCTCACTTACTGTTCAATGCTGTAAGCAAATAAAAGCAGTAAGGGAGAGATATTTCTCTTGTACTCCAGTCCTGTACTCATCACGGTGACAAAAAAGAAAACTGGAAATAAACACGACCATTCAGACAAAGCAGACTGGACAAACAGGAACAGGTTCATGCCTCAAAGAGGCAATGAAACAGATCCTAATTGTTTAACGATGAAAAGTTCTCATAGATAGGCATAAAGCTTTCTAATTCCCTCTCCTCTACCACATATCTATATGTAAACATATATCTGTGTTAGAGAGGGAGACTGCAGCACCTCAAGAGAGCACAAGAATTGGGCAAACATTAATACTTTTCCTTAAAACATCATAATCAATAGGTTCACCAACTGGTAACGTCTACATGAGACCAGATTCTATAGACTCTAAATTTCTCCACAAATGTGGCAATCTGGGAAATAAAATTAGCCTAAGTCACATGTCCCAAATGATACACCTGGGAACAAACAGAGTTACCTATAATTTTATACTGCATCAGCACTTCACAAAACACAATCACACAGTGTAAGCAAATGCCAAAGATGCAGATGCCTAAAATGCAACTTGATTTCTCAGAATATTAATTAATAGCATCCAGCCAGGATATTAACAGTGAACTTTTTTTTTCTGAAAGACAAAATTAGTATAAATTATAATTAGAGCACAAGCCTGTAAACGAAGGATCTTAAAGCAAAAAAGATTTTGAAGATGGCCTGTCAAGGACACTACAGAGATGAAATTATAATTAGTTCAGCTGCTTGATTCTGATTGCCCTATATATCCTGTCCACTCTGTCCTCTGATCTGCAGAATATGAGTTGAAAAGCCATTGAATGATAACTGCAAAGCTAATTATGTTAGTTAAAGATGATGTCCATAGTGAAGCAGCAGCAATCACTATTGATGCAAACAATGTAAGAAAGAATAGAAGGACACAAGATGTATCACTCACAAAGTAGTTCAAAATTTGGAAGCTGATCTACACTTTAGCTTGTATCTTAATTATGAAGAGTAAATATGAAGCAAAAATATGTTTCCTTTCACTGAAAGACCCAGGCACGGATCTAGATCACTAAAATTCAGAAAAAAACATTTAAGAGATCATGATCTAATAAATGCTAGAAACCATAGCATATTATCTTTCACAGAAACTATGAAAAATTTTGGAAGCTACAGCATAAAAAAAATTTGAAATGTATTCATTGACAAAGGATTTTGGAAAGTTTACATAAACTACATAAACTATGCCATTGGCTAAAAATGCACCATAATAGAATCAAAGCAGAGAAAATAATAAGTACTAGATTCCTACCTGAAACTGTTCAGCATTTTCAAGTTTCACTAGTAAGTTCCCATGTGCTTTACTGTATTTGTAAAGGAGTCAGGAAGCTGAGAAAGCCATATGTGCACATCACCCAAACTAATAATAGTTTATAGGAGCTGTGATGATTTTTGTTAAGTGAAGAAGCAATATGAACAACTGCATATGAAATCCCATGAGATTTTTTATATTGGAGCATATTGAATCTCTAACAACATTATTTACAGTAAACCAAGCACTGTTTAGCAAGCAGAGCATGCTATTGCATTCAGACAAGGACTCAAAGATGAAGGGATGAAGTACTGCTTACAGCAGATTGCTCTAGCATTGTGTCTATAAACATAGACATACAGATACGTATAGATATACATATGTGTGTACATCCATACACACAGAAAATAACAATGTTTATTTACAATTAACACTAACTACTTCCACCAAAATTAAGCCTTCAGGTCTCAGGGAGTTTCATCCCTGCTCTAGTCATGAAGGCTGACTCACAGATGCACTGAAACATCTGGCAATGTCTCTGCTAGGAAAGAACCCCTTTGGGTGGGAGGGCTGTGTGCCCATCATGGATGGTAAATGCTTTTCCCAATTGATTCCCTTCCCGTAAATCCAGCAGAGGGCCCACTCCGCTCAGAAGGATCTCTCCTGCCTCTCCACGTGAGTGGCCGTGGGAGCCGCAAATCACAAGGCAACAGTGAGTTTGCAGTTCCAAGTACCTGGACAGCTGGACAACTACTTGGTGTCAGAGCTGGCCTTTGTACCACAGTGCCCGTCCGTTTGCTTATGAAGGTGTTTCCCCCCTAAAGTGGAAGTGCGGGAGAAAAAGACCTGAACAGGAAGCATAACCCTAGCACTGCAGGGCATGACTTGGGAAGTAATGTGTCATATGAATATCTCCAACGCATGATCATCAGGGTTAACTGTCCCAGCAGGCAATAATTAATAAACAGGACACACACATACTGGATGCTTGAGACTGGATCAAAGGACCAGAGGGGCCTTTGATATTCCTATCTGCAATGGCAAAATGCACCTATACTCTGAGACTAAGCAGCAATTAGTCAGTTTATTCAGCACGGCGCTTTGTGCTCATAGCTTTAGTGCGCTGCCTAAACTGAGGCTTTCCGTGTCATTCTTTGGTTCAGCAGCAAATTAACAGCTTGTGCACTGACCCACATTTCCCTTCTTCATCTGCCACAAGATGCTTGATTGCAGCACGTTGATGAAATTATATCAAGGCACAAACAAGAAAGCTACCAGAAAGCTGTGTTAATTTCAGATGACATCAAATGAGGAAAGCAGTGTTTGTAAACGGGCTCAAATCGTCACTTCCGAGCTTGTGAAAGGCCGCTGTGAACACGTGTGGAGCTGAACAAGCCAAGCCCTGTAGGCGCGGCAGAGCCAGGGTGCCTCCGCACGGCCCTTAACGCCGCGGGGCTCGGGGGTCACGCCGGGCCCGCCCCGCAGCGCCGCCGGCCCCTGGCACGGCCTTGGGCACCGCTCGGCACACAGCGGAGGGTGCGGCCGGTGCCAGCCGGTGTCCCGAGCGTCCCGCGGCCCGGCAGGCCCAGACGCTTGCGCGGGGAGCGGCGCCCCGCCCCGGGCACGGCGCCCCCCGCCCCGGG